CTGGCTATAGTCAGACACGTCTTCTATTAGAATTCGAGTGAGGCTGTTGACACACTAACAAACCGATTCTTTGGAAGAATAAAAAACATTAAATTAAAGAATGTCAAGCTGACTGGTTAGTTGATGTTTTATCCTCAATAACGGATTTCGTATGAAACTTCCTTTCACGTTTTACGTAAAAATGTCATCAACAAGATAATGAGATTCGACACTATATCGATTGAGCTAATAAGATTATCGTCTCATCTCGGACGCTCTGGAAAAGAGTTGATGACACCGACGGTTTTGAAGAAAGAAGATAAGAAGATAATTGATTGCCTTATGTTCACCTTATCATACATCAACTTCCCTTAAAATTTAGTATACCTCTCTTTTGACTGCTTTCTCCACCATCTCTCAGGTTAAAGCGAAAATTACCCTAAAATGATCCCTTTTATCCAAAAGAGGTCAGGTGCTACCTCCCCACCCCCCTCTCCTTCCACTTACTCAACACTTGATGTGACAGGTCAAGGACTTGTCATCCCTGTGATGCGTCATGTCTGCATTACTTGTTTGCTTTCGACAAACTCATTGCAAATGGCATTAGGACAGTTTCCTCGAATGAAAAAAAGTGATCAAGGAAATATTTTTGAACCTGCCTTCTAATTCAAATCGACTGAAGTGTACGAAGCCGGCATTATGGCCCATCGTCTAACAAATTAGAGGTCAATACCTATCGGTACACACTCTGTGACTCGTAAATTCCGGTCAACAAGTGAGGTAAAGAGTGTTCCACGTTGGAGCGCCATTAGGATATTTGCTCTAAACACATTGCATTGTGGAAAGTTTTAAAGCTAATCTCTTTAAAGAAGGTGATTTTGGTTCTTTCTAAGTCTAAAGATGTGATGAAAGTGTTTCAAGACCGTAAAACTTGGATCAATCAATCAATCAATCAATTCAGACATGGGTAATCCAACTTATTATGGTACACTACCAGTATGTGACTTCACTGCCTATTGCTTGAATTCCTTTCGTCTACCGCAGAGGTGAACAAATGTACCGAAATTTTCCCCACTACTGTTAATTAGACAATGGCGTTAATCAGGGACCGTCCTAAAACTCTACCTGAGAATGTTTTCATAAGGTCTGTGAACGATTTGGAACTGACTATATTGTCGCCAATATTAATAATTTATTACCGAAACGCTAAAAGTGAAAGAAAATTAGGAAATTGAGCATTTTAAAATGGTTCCGGTTTGCTTCACGCATTTATCCGGGTAAATAAGAATTGGAAATCTTGTCAATAAAACTTATTAGCGTCTCTGAAACTCGAATATAATAAATGCGGCCTAATTGCTTATATGCTTCCTGGTAAAAATGAGAAAATTTCTGATGTGGTGAAGAAAATCCAAGTGGTTACAAGCCCTGGCTCTTGAAAACCAACTTTTAATGCAATGATCATTCGCTTGCCTTGAAAATGACACTCCAATGCGTATGTCTTTGCAAATTGCAAAAAAGCATTTGAGGACTAGAATCACCAACTCTTGGTTCCAAAGACGTGATATTTGAATTAATTGCGCTAAAGATTTTTCGAATTCTGAGACCAGCAGAACCTGAATTTTCAGTTTGAATTGTACGTTAAATGATTTGAAGGGCGACTATAGAAGTGCACTCTGTTACAAAAGCAGATTACTGTTCCACTAAGAGATGGCTATTTGATAGTTGGTACATTTTGGAAATTTATTTATTTATTTATTTCAAATGGTAGGAGTTTTGATAGTTATCATTAGCCCTTTAGCTGACTTCGGGCTTCACAGAGAGGAGGAGGAGGAAAATCAAAGTGACAAAAAGCCGAGAGGGGAATAGAGTAAGAAGAGACAGAGACAGAGACACAAAAGCAGAGTAAAGGTAAGATGAATAATGTGGAAGGGGTCAAATATGACATACAGTGGGGTCATGGCAGTTTGAAGTCAGAAGTCAAATGCCGGTTTATAGACTTTTTTGCCGTATGGGTATACGTTGTGCAGGGTGCACCACGTAGAGGGTGCACACCCCAATTTAGTCATAATTAATTGATAACTTATCCGATGGGAAATTAGTAGAGCTAGGTTATTACTGTCATGGCATGAATTCCTATGTCTAGCCTAGTTTGCTAATTAATCTAAATTTTGCGTTACTCTTTAATCGAAATTACAAGCTCATCTGCATTTTGTAAACGGACATTGATATCACCGAATCACTTGATTTTTCCCCGAAATGTTCGATAATCCAAATATAATGACTAGTAATGAGTCCACTCATAGAAGTCCTTAAATACCACTTCTAAAACTACAATGGTTAGTCTAGAGTTATTTCTTCCGATAAAGAATTGGCCTGTAAGGAATCCTGAAGTTCCAGAGCTTATATATATGTGATTCAGCTCATGAACGTTTCGTAAAGTGCGTCCAGCTTAATGCACCTGAGTGGTTTTGGAATATTTGTTATTACTTTTCATTATAGTTAATTACGGTATTGATCAATTACCATTAATAGGTGAAGTTCAACTTTCACGCTTTACGTGAGGTTATTTTTATATTAAGTCCAGAATAGATATTTGTTTCGAATTAACTTCTGAAAACACACCCCCCACACTCTTTCAATCACCAAACACCTGCTTCAGGCCAGCCCTTTGAAATGCTAAATTCCAGTAATTGATATAAGGTTAGAAGGGCAGAATCAACTTACCATATTTATTTATTTATACCAAATGGCCGGCGTTTTGATAGTTAACATTAGCCCTTTAGTTGACTTCAGGCTTCACAGAGGGAGAGGAACATCAAAGTGAACAAAAGCTGAGAGGGGGGGGAGGAACAGAAGAGTGTTTCAAAGATGTAAAAGAGGCAGACACAAAGGTAGAAAAAGGTGAGGTGAGTACTGTGGAAATAGTTGAATTCGACATACAGTGTGGTGATGGTAGTTCGAAGTGAGAAGTCAATTGCCAGTTAATAGACATTTTGCCGTATGAGAATACGTTGCCCAGGGTGCACCACGTGGAGGTAAGTCTATCGCACACCCCACACTTTGGAAAGTAAACATCGTCTTCTGAGCATTTTAACCTCTCAGAATAAAAGAATTGCCACCTTTATTCACTGATTTTACGAATCACAATCAAACTTCCTCTCTGTATAAATTTCAATCATAAAGCCTTCACAGTTCAAATTCTAAATAAAATTATCGATAATTACGATTTTACAAATGCTCGTAGTGGCTCCAATTATCCATTATTGAAAAGTATTTTCTAACATTTATTCCTGGCTGAGTTGTAATAATTATATTAACCTTCGCGGGGCAAATTTTATTTCTAACCACTGGAATTCAATTACTGTTGGTCTCATGAGCCAATTAAAACCATTTATTTCATTTGCAGTGTGAGAAACAAATGAAACAGCAGTCAACAGCCAAATTTTTAATGGCTTGAGCCAAAGTCTAGACACTTATGTTGCAGTTATTACCCCCTCCCCTACGTCCGAAATCAGACATATGTGCATGCAGTAACCAATCAGCACTTCACGCTTGAACCCCCCCCCCCCCGGGATTCTCTCTCGAACGTCACTTTTCACTCCTGTGTCGAAATCTTACGTGGCACTTTTCCACCCATTTCTATCCTATCTCATTAGAGGATAATTGGAACCCGACCACATCTGAGTGAAGGTAAAAAGGGTTCACTATGCCCCGTTTAGCCAATTCTTCGCATTTAAAGATTAAGTTCAAAGTTGTTTTTTTCAAATAAATTGTAATATGTAAGAACTATTCTTTAAGTCACTATCTAACTTACCTCCTTCCTATTCGATAACAGCCCAAACCTGACCTGAGAAGAGATAGTATAATCTGCTTTTTATCTGTCTCGTATCAGATCGAAATGGCGTCCCGTTTGTATGTGGATGCTATCAATTGGTGCTATATCTCGATAAAGATTAAATCCCATCTGGTAGACTGCCCTATTGAATGCCCCACAGACAACTATTAGCTTCCATTCTGCAACATAATTAAGTCGATAGGGATTTTTCATTTTCGAATAAATTTCCAGTTTATTCTTTGAAAAATAATCAATGCCAAGAGTGAATATTAGATTGTGGATGCCATTGATGGAATGGAATTCCCAATGGCAAATTAGTACTCTGTAAAGTCTTTGTATTAACTTCATTGTAACATAATAAAATGCGTTTCAAGGCAAGCTCGATTTTTAGCCGTGGATAACAAGTCCTTAACTTGGGGCTTGGCATTAGTGAAATAGCAACTGGAAGATATCATTAGGCTGGTATTACAATGAAATTTAGTATTTTTACAACCTTAAATGAGGACGAAATGCGAACTAATATGTGAAGTTATTCGATAAACTAACCTGTCTGTTTGTTCTTAACATCTAGGCTTCTGTACTTGCGTTGGTTAATGCTCCTGAAGGATCGCATAAAACAGAAGATATAAAATTTGAAATTATATCGCTTTCTTTACCCAATTCTAATAATAGTGGAAACTTCTTAGCATATTCTAAGATGTGCGCTTTCGTGGGCCTATTCCAAAAGCAAGACTGCACTTGGACTTCAAGAGAAAGTGCTACCTCAAATTTGACCTTCATAGCTGCTCACTGAAGGAAGAATGTGAAGAAGGATACGGGAATGCAAGAGAGCTAATCTTCACAGCCATCTCTTATTTGTACAAAAGGAAAAACCATGCAATTTTTTGTCAAATTCTCATTTTTGATGTAACTGTAAACTAAATGGTTCGAGAAATTGGATCATTTATAATGTATGAAGGAGGAGATTTGTAAAAGAGTTCAAATTACTCAAAGATTGCCTTATATTCTATCTCCTCACGGTTAATGAGCTAGATTTTAAAAATAAATATTTACAACCGATTTCAATTTTTGATCTAGTTAGATTAATGCTTGCTTTCTAATTAGTAAGCAAATCTGAAATGAGAAAACAAAATTATGGTACAATTGCATTGATCTTTTAAGAGATCAGTTAATAAGATTAGAAGACATGAATAGTTCATGCAGTTTAGAGTCGCTGGCTTCTACGATCGTGGCCTTAAAAGAAGATGTTTGTCATCAACCTACAAAAGAAGACCTCAATCGAATAAAGAAGGAACTTCGGAAGCGCACAGAAAGCCTACAAAATAAGGGCCGTCATATTCTGTACAGTTGGGAGGATCGTTATAATCAATTTGAAATTAATGATCACATAAAACGATTGGAAAGACGAGTTGATGAATTGGATTTTCAAGTTGAAAAAACTATAAATGCCAATGCACTATTCCTTTCAAAACTTGTTCAGGGAACTGAAGCCAACTTTTTGCCCGAAAAGTACTAATTTTGTGTTGTATTTAATTAATTTATTTCCAATTGGAGAACCCTCTTTAAGTTTCGTTTCCATTTATAAGCTGTTATTATTTTTTGTTACTAAGATTAAAGTTATAAATTTTTTTCACTCTTGACTTCAATTTCTCTAGGAATCTACGAGATTTTACTAGCAAAACGTTTGTATGTAACAACCTTCAAGCTAATAGACATTATCGTCCAAATCACTGTTTTTCACGTACACCGATCACCAATAACTCAATACTCCTTGATTCAGTTTTCTTTGTCTCATAGAAGACAAATTTACTGCCACTTTCAAAGGCCTTTTAAAAAATTAAATAACACCACAAGTTTTGAGGAGAATTTTTTGGAGCAAGCAGTATATGTTGTGAGATTACCAACTTTGCATATATGTGATCTAATGTGGCTAGATGTATCGTAGGCACAGATGGTAAATCCTCGTTATGTCAGGAAAGAAAAATTGGAAATACCTTACTGTTTCAAGATCACTCCCATTAGCCGATCCTTCTAAGAAATATAAACTGAAGTGGTATGAACAATCACTCTAATTGGTTCATCGCCCGATAATCACCTGACATTGTGGAAGCATATATTCACTGTGGTTCAGAGGGACGTTTCATAATTGTTGGATTTTGGAAAGTTTATTTATTTCAAATGGGAGGCGTTTTGATATTTATCATTAGCCCTTTAGCTGACTTCGGGCTTCACAGAGGGTCATCATTAGCCCTTTAGCTGACTTCGGGCTTCACAGAGGAGAGGAATATCAAAGTCATAAAAAGTCGAGAGGGGGAACATTAGAGTGAACAGAGAAACACAAAGGCAGAGAAAAGGTAAGACGAGTATTGTTGAAGTGGTCCGATTTGGCATACAGTGGGGTCATGGTAGTTTGAGGTCAGAATTCCGCTGACGACTAATGGACTCTTTTGCCGTATGGGAATACGTTGCCCAGGGTTCACCACGTGGAGGTAAGTCTATCGCCCACCCCGGATTTTGGAAGGTGAACTAGCAGCAAATCCCACCCCAAAAATCTGAAAAATTCTCTGATATCCTAGCTTTATTTACAGCATTTCTTTGATCACAATCTCTTATATACGTTTTTGAACATTGCAGCAAGCCTATCAGCTTGGCTTTTCGAACACAAAAAAACAAGAATTTTTTTTGAATTACTTAAGATATATTGGACAAATTTCACGATGCGTAAGCTTGCTACTGGTGGAACATTAACAACTGATAAACAAGCCCAGTGGATTCCTCTAGGACGACCCAAGGTCAAAATATACCAAATACTTCACTTTTGGTCGGTTAGGAAATGTTTATTTAAGTTAATTTACCCTAACACTACTTTTGGTTCAACAGACGAAAGGATATCTAAAGAGGAGGTTTGTGTAAATTCAGGACAAAGGCAGGGCTTGGGTTCAATTCCTGTTCCTAAAAGTGCAAACGCTCACCATAGGGAGATTTAAGAGCAAAGACTGGAAGATGAAGCTACAAGAAAAATCGTGAATGCTTGCGGAAAGAAAAATTTTGTCCATTCACAATTGATGGGATCCGTGTTTCACATTACCAGCTATTAGAAAGGAATTCTAATGGGCAATTCCAGATTTATAAGTCTTGAAAAGGAACTAACGTTTGCAACGTCAAAATTGAATCCCAACATCTACCACTGGTGGCTTGGTGTTAGTGAGAGTCTCCTCAAAAAAGTATACCTCGAATTCCTCGAGTTTGAGAAAGGTGGTTAAGGTCCATGCCCCGTTGGCTACATCATCCAGCTTTTTCACGAATTTCATATAATTTCACATCCGAATTCATTAGATGAGCATTGGCTACATAATGTTTAATTTTCCAAAATCCCGGTTAATCTATTCGAATAGGTAATAAAAGTTGGCTATTTATTCAAATAGATGTTGATGCGGCAAACCAATCTATTAACGTTGAGGCTCCGATTAAAGTTGGTTGTTTATTCCATGTTGCCGGTGTCGCAAGTAGGGTCTAAGTTAAGTAAGGTATGGGGCTAATTATTTTTCCCCAAAAAGAATAGGATTGATCTCGTGATGATTTAAGTCATACGGTGCTGATAGTCACCCAATTGTTGGACAGTGGTCTTATGCCTGTCCTACCTTAAAGAAAATTGGCTGCCTCCAATGTAACAATCCCTTGCGCTCACAAGTTGACTGCCCACCCAGCCAGGTAGACCGGTTCTAACTCTGGGACTGGTAAAGGCGCTAGTGGTGATGTCAGCAGTACATTGAAAGGGTGTTTGGGGGGAATGGCTTACCGCAGACATTCTACATTATCTCTTAGATCTATCGACAAAATGTTTCTACACGTGTGCACTGAGGGGATACACCTGCGGCCGCTGACCTGATATGTGCGTCTAGAACGCGTCAGATGTCAAGTTAAATCGCTACTCTGATCTGACAGTAGTAGCTCCATCTCTAATCGAATGTATCAGTTTTTTTTTGCAACTCCGATCCGCATCAACTCCCCTCCCCACCACCCCGCACCCGAGGTGTGAGAATTGACCTAGGAATGTTGGATAAAACCCACCAAAAATCATTTAGAAAGTCTTACATGTTTCCTTATGATATGGAAATTAGAATATGCCAAAATTAACGGACTTATCAATTAAGCCCAAGGGTGGGGACTCGATGCTTGTCGGTGTATTCTCGATGAGTGGAACTGTTAACCACGCCGATTAAAGTTGATCAGTTAAAAGGTGACAGAGAGAGAAGGTAAACTTTTCACGAAATTGCATGAAAGCAAATGCTGATAGGTAGATGCTATTTAGAACTTTTACCAACTTGACCATCGACTAAATCAGCATATAATTAGAATTTGTGTGACGGAAAGCGTTGGAGTTTAGTAATATGCTGTCGGTCTGAGTGGGTAGATATTTCCATCTTTAAGGACTACCATTTTCTTTCAAACTTCCTTATCCTGAATATGTGCTGTGGGATGACAGAAGCCATGGGAAAGGGATTAACAGTTTACTTAGCTGCAAAATAAGTTAGACATAAAATGCCCAGATATCCACGCGTGTAATCGTTTCTTGCCACACCTTCCCAATTCGCATTGGCCGGTTCCTTACTATGTTAGAAGTTGAAGAGATATTGCATCTAACGGTTGAATGTGATTGTTCGAAGAAAAATACTCCTATAAAATCTGAGTCCTAACTCTTAATTCAGATTCGGTTCTGACGAATCAAATCCGAAAGCAATATAAGCTCGAAAGTTACATCTGCTTTCCTATTTTAAGTTATTCCTTCCTATTTGATTAAAATGATTGTGCACGCGTGAAATAATTCTTAAATATTTGTTAGTTTGAACGAAACAGATTTTCAACAGTTTAAAAGTAAATTTGTCATTACTTCGCAAATTTTATTCCGAAAACATTTGACCAATCATAATGTACCTTCTGACTCCTACCAATGAAATTCTTAGCTCGCCACCATTGGACGGCACTTCGTAATTTAAGTAGCTTAAGTTTGAATTTTCCGAAATTCGACATCTAATCTTTTTTTAGACCACATTTGAATTTTAATGGAGTCTCCAAACTCCGCTCGTTTGCTAATGGAATGTGCCGCGTATTCTCGAAATATGAATAATCCTGCTACTGTTCCTACAACACAAATGGCAGTAAATCCTTTTGCTGTCGGTCATATTCCCCAAGAAAACGAACGTTCATGCTGGAATGATATCAGCTCTACTCCAAACTGCAATCCGGCGGCATGCATTTTGTCAAACGGAGCAAATTCAGAAGACCCGAAATTAAAACCGTCTTTATCATATATTGCCCTTATATATACTGCGATAACTAGCTCGCCAGACCGCATGTTAACACTCAGTGGAATTTATAAGTATATAACCGACAAGTAACTTCTTCAATTTTGGACTTACCACTCCTTTCGTTTTTATTTTTTAGCTTCAAATACTATGAGAAGCATAAGCACGGTTGGAAAAACTCGATTCGTCACAACCTAAGCTTAAACGACTGCTTTGTTAAAATAAATCGAAGTGCCTCTAATCCAGGTAAAGGATGCTATTGGGCGATTCATCCTAAAGCAGAGCATATGTTCGAAGATGGCTCTTATCTCAGGCGCAAGAGGCGTTTTAAGTTAGGTGAAGATGACATCAATGAATTCAGAAATTTGCAAATAAGGGCGAACCAAGTCAATGAGAATATAATTGCAGTCTCTTCATCGTCGGAACAACCGACTTCAACCCAACAAGCACCACCACAATATATTCCTGCTCAAAATACTTACTCCTATGTATCGTAGATTTCTGTCTTATGTTAGTGCACCTCATTTTGATACATTATAATCTTTGTGTTACAACATTTCAGGCTCCACAATCAACGGCATACATGCAGCCAACAAATAGTTGGACACAACATATGAATGGCTTACATCAGTCATATGCGCCAACAAATTATTATAGCAATATGCCTCAGCAAGCTGTGACCTCGTATCACCAGTATGGCGTTTCTCAACAACTTCACAATAACCCTGCTTGGTATAACGGAAATTACTTAAGGCAACAACAAGCAACGCCGGTCTCCCCACATGGCCAAAGCAGGATATCTCTTGATTCAACTGGAAGTTTACTGAGGACTTCGCCAGAAATGGGAGTTCCTTGTTGCATTAGTCCCACAGAAGAAGCCAAGACCAACTCGGCGAGCCTTTCTGCTGTTCATAGAGCTCATTCTTCAGATTACTTGGATCCATACTTTACTCAGCTTCCATTTTGACGTAAATGGAATCGTATGTAGAAATTTATTAGTATTCCTTAAATTGCTCAGATATTATTGTCCATTACTTTATTTTTTATCAATAAAGATTCATATGTGAAAGCATGCCTTTTGATTAAAATGAAGAGTTTCAAGTGGAATGATATGGGATTCACCCTGTTAGGTAAGTCACCTACTGTACCGCGATTGGTGCGCACTTCGCCGTATGCTTACTTTTGATTGGCTAGAGTCGCGTCACTCTATTAACAGTATTTTTCATCACTTTTGCTAAATATTGAATGCATTTATTCTTTCATTTACGAAATTGCGTCTGTTTGACCGATTTGGTCTAATATCTTGAAAAATATTACTAAGCCAATACATACAAAATAGATGAAAGGTAGTCCTGCGGCTTGACGAAACCCAGCATTAAAATTTTAGGCATTTCGTAGATGAGGATTACTTTATACTTCCTTGGCATGGTAGACTTAACTTTAGTTCTGTGTTGGCCACAAATTTGCTCTACTTTCATTTTAGCTGGCTAGGCAGTCATCTAAAGTAAACAATGTTTTACTCTAGCGTAAATTTTGCTGACTTCACTGCTTGCTAGAGTAGTTGGAGGCGTTTGGACTTTGAACGCTGAAACTTTCCGCCCCTCGCTTTCTTCTTATACTGCGTAATCATCTGGTAACAGCTATAGAAGAAATCAAAAGGCTTGAATTCGGGATTATTTAATCGATTAAAAGTTATTTGAGGATTATTGTAAGAAAAGAGCAGTTTCAGACTCCATTTATCGCTGTCGGGAGTACAACATCATGAGCACAATTGCCTTAGCAATTAAGAGTCCAAATTAATAATTACTTTGTCCTGGAGGCCTTTACAAATATTTGACTTATAAAAAAGAATTCAATCGTAAACAAACATTCTACGTTCTGTATTCCATACTTATCTCCAATAAATTGGCTTCCCTCTGACGAATAGTAATTGAGAAGCTCACTTTCTGCAGCCTTGTCTTTGTCAGTTTCCCTCGATGCACCTTGAATGAGCTTAAACGAGTTTCGTTAAACCAAAACACTTTTGGTAGCCGCATTGGACTGCTCTTAGCTTTAAGCGTTGAGGAGTCACTGACATGAACTAATGAAATGAACTTTGAAGAAGTTTGATAAAACAGTGCAGGCCCTTGCTTGCAGATAGTACCATTGGTGTATTTTGATTCTCCTGCTGATGTCCAATTGGGCTATTTCACTTGTATAGAAGGTCATTTTCCCGAGTTGATCCACGGGTTTCCAGTTGACCTCATGTATGTAGCTTTCAGAGAGGTAGCTTTTCACTCTCATACAGCCGGGAATAAGTCAATGAGACTAGGATGAGCTTTTTACATTTTTGCGTTCTTCAAAATGCATTCAAAGCTAATTGATAGACAATGAATGTCATGCCAAGGTGTTAAGGCACCCAAATAAAGCCGATGTAAACTTTACCACTCAAATGGGAAGAGGAATATAAAGTACCCAAATGCATTAAAGCAGTTACAATGAAACGCGGAAAGAATATAAGGGCTGAAATGAACAAATTGAGATGAAAATGGAGAAGCTCATTTAAATGTTGAAATGTGCGTCCTCGGGTTTAGCTTTTGTTATGGCTTCTTAAGTCTTCTGCTAAATACAACTGAATTTAACTGATTAGGTCATTTTGGGGGTAATAAATGTCAAAATTAGAAGCCTGAAAAGGTTAATATCAATTGTCCTGGCCGGGTTTTGCAACTTCCAGTGTCCTACTTGACATCCTATTATTTTGTTGCTGTTTTAAAAAGAACCCTTCGTGGGTACTCAAATAGGCAACGATTTGATTGCCATTGACACTGATGGGAATTGAAACACTAAAAATTGGCAGCGATCCGGATGTTTGAGCACGAGAATCACTCACTCTTCTGAAATTCATGGCACCTTCGCACTTCACAAAAATTCCTTTAAATTCTGGAACTTTTCCCTTTGGAGGCGGGGACTGATGTTGGATGTTTTAACTAATGATAGTCCCATCAAGCGAAGACATTCTTGCATCCTTCTTCGATTTGTCTTAGCCTTAATGTTGAGTCGGCTTTCTTCCTTTGTACTTCATTCCGAATTTGTGCTTCGCAATTTGACAAGATCTTTCTCATACCTCATTTTCTGACGTTACCGTAGTTATATTAAATAAGCCATATTTTAAAGAGTTGAATATGCGCAAGATTCGATTTGGCCTTTCGAGATTCTAATAATGTTCACTTGAGTAATCATCCCGCCTCCGTCTAAAGTGATAATAATTCGAATATTGGGCGCATATTTAGGCTAGTGTGAATTCAGTATAGCCACAAAACCTTGAAATTGGGACTATCCTTGTTGGGTATGAAATTGATCCTTTTCACAATCTGCACCCACAAATCCATCCCTCCGTCCAACCTTATCCGCCTGCGCCAATGTTTATTTTTCTCTACACTTTGAATGCCCCATTTCCGACTTCGTTCCGCTAAGTTGTCCTTCCCCTTCTCCGCTCTCCTCTATCTGGTGAAACTTCCAGCTTGCGTAATTTAACCGGACAAGAGTCCGAGGGAGGGGGGGGGGTGGGCAGGGAGTGGTAGGAGTGACACATGATAGGATTGTAATCAGTGTCAAGTTGAGGGGGGGGGCGGGCGGTGGGTGGGTGGGTAGTGGTCTGCGGGTATTTCAGACCACGGAGTATGGGGCCATGTGGAATTCACGTTGTACATTTAACTACGTTAAGAATGCAAAAAGAATTATTTGAAATTATTTCATTTTACTGACTAATGCGTACCAAATGAACCGACGAAATCTAGCTATCGGCTATTCGACAACTTAATTAATTGTTTTATAACGTTTTTTGTGCCCCACCAATAAAATTGTTGCCATTACTTGAAAAATGGACCTGATCAGGAATTAGAAAAAAAATGTAGTTTAGGCTTAATGATGTGTCAAGGTGATACTTGCCAGTGCTTCAATAAAGGTGCGTAATTCTGTTAACTATGGAGTAAACTATTGGAAATAAGGACTTTTGCCACACGCATACCGTAGCCACTTGCGTAGTTTGCATGAAAGTTCCACACAACACTGAAAGATCGTCTGAAAGCATTAGAAGGCTATTCCTTCTTACCTTTGACACTTTTATGTTCCAATAAGTGAATTTCGGATCTTGAAAATTTCTAGGCTTCAAAAGACTTTAATGTGAAGTAATAGCATCATTATCATCATGGTCATCAAATCATTTCATTTGATCTCTTTGCATAGTGCAGAAGTAGGCTTTGTTAAGACTCGAAAAATGTGCAAACGCTAAAGCGTTCATGGATTGAAAGCGAGTACTGAAAAGTACATAATACTGTCAGAAATAGAGGTCAGATGGGGAATCCGGGTAAAGTCTAAGGGCATGGAAAGGATGTTAAATTAGGACACTCTGAATAAGTTAAACGTGAGCAAAGGTCAGGGTGCGAAGTCAGAGGTCACGCTATCAATGGACATTGATAGATAACCAACTACGTGAGTGGCCAAACGTACTGATTAATTCAACCTAGCACTAGGGGTGCTAGAATCAGTTTTGGTCATAACTGTCGTCTTTTCTCTACCAAAGTCAGCTGACATTTCGCTCTCCCCCCCCCCCCATTAATTCATTTTGTAGAGATTTGTGCTCACTTTTACAGTCTACCAACTTGTTGTAAATTGCACATCCCCTACTCAAAAATTGTAAAAACATATTTGGAATTAATGTCTTGAGAGTTTCGCGTTTTGATATGCAATTGATTATTGCTGTGACACTGTGATATCGGAAAATTCATTTTATTGATTAGTAAGCCGACAGTTCACCTAACTTGGTTTAAGGTCAGAAATCTCCGTTTTCTCCGATATTTGAAACGTATACCCTTAGAGCGTGATGGAAAATTTTAAAATATGAATTTTGTAAAGCCATTAACTCTTCAACCAAACTAAGAATCCTAAAATTCCATTTAAGTGATAATTGTAATAACCCCTATACTCACACAAATATATCTGTTAAGAGTTAAAGTTTAAGAAATGACAACTCGGTCTGATTTCTGGCAAAACCCATCGTACGGCAAACTCGAAAAGCTGCAACGGTTAACTACGTATATTTCACCAAAAGTCGTATCGAAGAATCCTGTTATATGAATAGGTGTTGCAAATTAAGTCATAATTATATCATCAGTATTATTTTTCAAGCCCTATTAAGAAAGCCATCGTCTGCACTCATATCTGAGAATTAGGCAGTCACCTTGAGAAACTTCACTTTTTCTTTCCCCTTTACTAGGCAAATATTAGCTCCGAAGGACAATTTTGGAGACTTGTGGCACTAAAACACACATGTAATGTCATAAAAGGCTACGTTGCTTTCCAATCAAGGTGAAGATTGGTGGCATAAAATAACAGCCAGATTCATCAATGGAATGTGACCGATTTGGTGGACAAAAGGCAAAATGGGAGTACAAATGCCTGAAAACATAGTTTATTCACACTTTTAAATAAAGCTCATAGGAAAATACTTCATTGAGTTTAAGTGGCTATTGCAGTGGTCAGCGTATCAAACTAAAGGCCACTCACTAGAGCTCACCCAGTGCTCTAAGTCACTTATTCCTATTGATGCAAAATCTCAAATTCTGCATATTTGAAGTGGTTGCCTTTGAGGGCTGACTATTTCATAGCATATGAAATATCATCATGGTAATTACATTTCTGCCGGTGACATGGTGATTACCGTAAACTCCGGTAAGTTACTGTTTCTACGCGCCCTTCAATTTCCCACTTTTACATCGAAAGATTTATGCCCTTTCGAATTTGTCACTGCCGACAGTTAGTCAAATATCGAGCATTTTCAACTGCATAGTTTTCGATAACTGATGGATTTTCGTTTATTACGTATTTGAAACAACACAGTCTCATTGATTATTTGAAAATGGAATATTATTCCTCAGGATGGAAATGCAAAGCGCATGCATTCGGTTCTGGTAAAATACACAATTTAAG